CCAACTGCACTTAGTAGCCGCTGGGCAGGCAGTGCCTGCTGGCCGCCTGCACTCAGGACTCTCCCCCAGCCATGCGGGGGCCTTGCGCTGGACCCCCGTGCCGGGAGCCGTGGTTTCCACGCCATGGGGCAGCCACCCCCGCCCGCGCCCCGCCTTGAGGTCGCCCCACGTGGCGTCCACGGTGGCACTTGCCGGCCTCTGAGGGCAGTTAGACACCAGCTGGCCAGGGTGGGCGCGCCAGGCAGGGCCAGCCCCAGAGTCCCTGGCCTTCGTGGTCTCCCAGACCTGCCGCGGGGGCGGCGGGGGGGCTGCCCAGCCTGGCGCGGCCCTGGGGGCCCAGCAGAGGCCCGGCGGTCCTGAGTCCCGCCTCTGCCCCGCAGGCTCTGGCTCTGCCAGCTGGGCGCCCCCAGCTGCGGGCACCTGGCAGCCGTGCTCCCCCAGAACAGGAGCCTGACTCACCTGAGCCTCGGGAAGAACCGCCTGGGCGACCAGGGGGTGGCGCTGCTGAGCGCGGCCCTGGGGCGCCCGGGGTGCAGGCTGCGCAGGCTGGAGTGAGTCCCCCAGGGAGTGGGCAGCCTGGAGCCCCCTCTGCGCCCTGGCCCCCCGCCCCTCCCGCAGCCGCTCCCCGTCTGGCTGGACTCCAGCCTGGCGCCCCCAGGGCGTCTCCAGCCCAAGCCCAAGGGCTGGGAGCTGCTGGGCAGGCGGGGCTGCCCCTAGCCCCTGGCTGGCACCACCTTCTGCCAGGGTGGGGGGTGGGGTGAGCCCCGCTTCCGCTGGAGCTGAGGCGGCCCTGGGGCTGTCTCTGCAGCTTGTCCGGCTGCTCCTTCGGGCCGGAGGGCTGCCGGGGGCTGGCCGAGGCCCTGGGGCGCAACCGCAGTCTGCACACGCTGGACGCTGGGCACAACGCCCTCGGGGACGAGGGCGTGCGGCTGCTGTGCGAAGCCCTGAGGCCTCCTGACGGCAGCCTGGCCACGCTCGGGTGAGTGGCTGCGGGGTCCCGCGCTGGGGAGCGGGGGAGGGGCGGGCCTGTGCCTCTAGGGAGCTGGGGCCACCCTGGACTTCTGGGCTCGTCCGGGTGTGTGGGGAGTGCCTGCAGCTACCAGGTGGGCCCTGCCCCCCACCCGGGGCCTCCCCCGAGGCTGGCCGATGGGCGCCTGCTGGGCAGCGGAGGCGGCCGAGGCCTGGAGGAAGCTGAGCAGCCTAGTGCCCACTGGATGGACCAGGTCCCCAGTGCTGGCGCCCTGCCTGGCTGTGGGAGGGTGAGTGCCCCTCACGCTGTCCTCTGTCCACCTGTCCCCGGATGGTGCCTTGCCGGGCAGCAGCCTCCGGACACATGTCTTGTCACATGTGGGCTTTGCACACGAGCTGGGGGTCCTCCCGGTTACCCCCCACAGCGCCCCACGGCCCTGGTCACTGGCCGGCCTCGGCGTCTCCCGTGAGACGGCGGCCGCGTCTCACGAAGGGGCCGTAGAGGAGCCTGCTCCGCGTACACCTTGTGGCCCTCCGCGGGGGGCCCAGGGCCCGTGCGCCCGTCCAGGGGGGCTGAGCTGCATCCCGCCCTCCCGGTCCGCCCCAGGCTGGAGAAGTGCGGCCTGACGCCCGCCGGCTGCCAGCACCTGGCCCCCGTCCTCAGAAGCAGCCAGAGCCTGGCCGGCCTCAACCTCCTGGGCAACGACCTGCAACCCGAGGGGGTCCTCACGCTGTGGAAGGCTCTGGAGAGGCCCACGAGTAGGCTGCAGAAGCTAGGGTAATGCAGACGCCTCGGGGGGCCCCGGCCGGGCTGGGGCATGCCTGCGCCCCAGGCAGGGCACCCATGGGACTCTGGGAGGGGCCTCGGCACCTGTGGGAGCTGAACGAGGCCTGAGTTTTTTGTAGGACAGTTTGTTTCTGTGACACATTATTTACTGTGGTAACTGAATTACAATTCTGTATGAGTCAGGAAATGGGGTCACATCTCCCCCGGTGGCTGTTACCACACCACACCCACCAGCAAGGCCGTGTCCCCCTCCGCCCATCGGGCTTGCCTTTTCACGGCTGAGTAGTATTCCACACCGACTGACCATGCCACCTTCATCCCCTGTGCGGCCTCGCATTCAGGTTGTGGCCTTCACGTGGCTGCTGCAGACAGTGCAGAGGACGCAGGAGCCAGAGTGGCTCCCGCAGTGGCGTCCGGCTTTCTGTGGGTACACTCGCCAGGCTGTATGGCACAGCTGTTACTGAATGTTCTGAAGGGCCTCCGTGGGGGTCCCTGGAAGCGCTGCATTCCCGCCGACTATGCAAGGGCGCCATGATGCTGCAGATTTCTCTGGCTGGATTTAGTCTCACTGGCTTGTGCCCACCACGCTGGGCAGGGCAGTGCTGCAGGCTGCAGGGTGTTCCGTGGGCACCTCATTTTCCTTCTCACACCTGTTGCATGTGCCACTCAACCTCAACTCTCAGCCCCACTTCAGGGCTGTCTGGAGAGGCTCCACGGGATGGAGACGTGTGACGTGAGTATGCCTTTGTGGGCCTGCATTTCTTCAAGACGAGCTTGTGTGAACACCGAGGGAGGCTCTGGGTCGCTGAGTAGAAAACCAGGGTGGTGAGTGTCTGTACAGACATTTCCACAGCTGCATAGTATTCCAGACGGACGCGGGGTGGAATACTACTTAGCTGTGAAAAGAGGGAGCCTTGCCTTTTGCGACAATATGGATGGAAGCAGAGGGGTGATAGTGTCAGAAGGAGAAAGACAAATACTGGGTCATTTCACTTCTGAGGAATATAGAGAAACAAAACAAAGGAACAGGTGAAACAACCCACACAGGCCCTGGCAGTCTGACTCAGAAGTGAGGCTCCCCGGGCAGCAGGAGTGGGGGCCCCCAGAGGCTGGCTGCGGTTTGCTGGAGGGTCTGGCGAAGTAACATGCATGTGGAGTGTGAAGCGGCACCCCGAACTACACGAGTATTGTCAGCCAGTTAGCGCTGCCCAGCCCTCAGTAAAGCAAAACAGAACCGGGGTGACGGAGGCTGCGAGGGCAGACACGGTGCGGGGCCTGGTCGCCCTGCCCAGCGCTGCGGGAGAGCCTTGAGCCCCAGCTCGCTGTGCCTAGTTCAGGCGGAGCCCAGACGTGGCCGCTGTTTCCCCAGAAAGGCACCGCAGGCGGCCGCTGGCCTGCG